CCCGGGCTGGGGATTCGAACCCGCCACCTTAGGTGTATGTGGCTGGCACCTTAGCCACTTGAGCCACAGGCGCTGAGCCCAGGAGATTTATTTCATCCAAGCTAAGTCTAGGGAGAGGGTGTGATTCCAAATATTGATCCATTTCCTTCAAAACACAAAATGATTCTGCATTTTCTATGGAACCAGAAAAAACCCTGTATAGCTAAGGCAGATCTTAGTAGTAGTAATCAAAACAAAGCCAGGGGCATCACCATACCAGATTTTAGGCTGTACTACAAAGCCATAGTGTTCAAGACAGCATGGTACTGGCACAAAAATAGAGACATAGACATTTGAAATAGAAAACCAGGAAACAAAACTAACATCTTACAACCACCTCATCTTCGATAAACCAAACAAGAACGTACACTGAGGGAAAGATTCCTTATTCAATAAATAGTGCTGGGAGAACTGGATATCCACATGTAAAAGACTGAAACTGGACCCACACCAGTCTCCACTCACAAAAATTGATTCAAGATAGATAAAGGACTTAAATTTAAGGCATGAAATGATAAAAGCCCTCAAAGAAAGTATAGGAAAAACACTGGAAGATATCGGCCTGGGGAAAGACTTCATGAAGAAGACTGCCATGGCAACTGTAATAACAATAAAAATAAACAAACAGGACTTAATAAAACTGAAAAGCTTCTGTATAGCTAAGGAGACAACAACCAAAGCAAACAGACAACCTACACAATGGGAAAGGATATTTGCATATTTTGAATCAGACAAAACCTTAATAACTAGGATCTATACAGAACTTAATCCACAAGAAAAAAACCAACAATCCCATACATCAATGGGGAAGAAAGATGAACAGAACCTTTTCTAAAGAAGACAGATGAATGGCTAGCAAACATATGAAAAATGCTCATCATCCCTAATTATTAGAGAAATGCAAATCAAAACCACCCTGAGATGCCATCTAACCACAGTGAAAATGGTCCATATCACAAAATCTCAAAACTGCAGTTGCTAGTGCAGATGTGGAGAGAAGGGAACACTCTTACAACTGCTGGTGGGAACTAATTTAATCTGTATGGAAGGACATATGGAGAAACCTCAAAGAACTCAACCTAGACCTCCCATTTGATCCTGCAATCCTATTATTAGGCATCTATCCAGAAGGAAAAAAAAAATTTTTATCATAAGGACACTTGCACTAGACTGTTTATTCCAGCTCAATTTACAATTGCTAAAATGTGGAAACAGCCTAAATGCCCTTCAACCCAGGAACAGATTGGCAAGCTGTGGTATATGTATGCCATGGAATACTACTGTTCAGCCATTTAAAAAAATGGAGATTTTGCAGCATTTGTAGTAACACGGAACACATTGTTCTTAGTGAAGCATCATAGGAACGGAGAAGCATGAATCTATGTATTCAACTTTGATAGGAAGACAATTAATGACACGGTAGGGGGTGGGGGAAAGGGAGGGCAGATAGAGAGAAGGAGGGAGGGGGTCGGGGAAAGGAAAAGAAAAAAAAGAAAACAGTGACTAATTCTCACATAAATTGGATTTAATTTTGACCAAAGTACATTATTTGAATAATTTTTAATTTGACTTGTTAATATGTTGTTTAGGATACTGCATACTCATTTAGAAGTAAAATATGTTTATAATTTCCCTTTATAATGATATGTTTTTTCCAATTTTAATATCAGGTATATGTAGATGAAGTAGAATGAATTTGAAGTATTTCTTCTTTTTCTATTGTCTACAAAATTTGGCATGATTTGTTTTTTGAAATTATCTTCTATTTTTATTTATAAATATTTGTTATTTATTTTTTGAGACACCGGAAAAATAAAAAAAAAGAACCAGATTCTATTCTATCCATATTCATATTCAGAAATACAGACCAAAGGCACAAATCACCTATTAAAATCATAAACTAATGATTTGGGGTCTATACATTGTTGGCAAACCCAAAACAAAAAATTGGCCTGTGTTGGCAGAACAATGGGGCCATTTGTATGCTTTCCTCCAGATCTCCTGCCGCGCTCAGGCTCTAGTCCACCTCTTCCGCCACCCTGTCCTATAAGCACCAAGCGCAGGATCAGGAAAGGCCAAGAGGGGAAAACAGCTGCAGCGTGTGCACCTGAGACAGCAGGTGCACCTGAACCTGCCGAAGTGACTTGCCAACAGCACACTCTGTGCTTAGTAAAATGTCACACAAACAAACACCTCAAAGAAAATGCAGATAAGAGAAAGCATGACAGAGAGGAAACAGGCAAGATTTTTCTCTTTCCTACTGAGAAGAAGCCCATCATTGAAATATTTACGGTCTTTGCCTGACCTGAATAACCATATACTTCAAAAGTATTTGCAGAAAGAAGCAGGTTTGGTCCTCAGCAATCTTCTCCCCCGAAATGGCTGGCAAGAGTGGAGTGATTTCTTCTGGATATACTTTGGCTGCAGGATGGAAATGAGAGCTCCTTCAGCAAAGCTGAATTTCAAGCAGGGCTTAAGATTTTTTTAATGATGTCTATTAAAATACATCTATCATCCCCTGGAACCAATCACCCTGAACTCCAAACCAGTGCGCATAACGGGCCTGAAATCACAGTACCGACACCTGGGAAGCCACCTCTTCCAGGGACCACTCCTGCCCTCTCAAATTCTGCTCTGGTCAGCCCAAGATCAAATGCCACTAATTGGGCAATAATTATGATTATCAGAGACAATCGTAATTTTAACATCCAGATTACTGAGGTGACCAGAACCCAGTATGTTAGCACTGAAGCTTAGAGAGGAAAAGCCCTCCCTTCACTGATGATAAAACTGGAGTAGTTAGTGCCATGATTTACACAGTAATAAAACAATGCCCCTAACAGGCAAGTTCCTTGAAAACTCATAGGACAGCAACGGCCACATCCCATGAGGCCATTACTGTCCTTCCATAAATGCTGCATGAAAACACACAGCGGGCAGAAGAAGATACGGGGTGAGCAGACGCACGTCCACTCATGGACCAACACTGACAAGAAGGACCGACAGCAGTGTGTGTGGCAGATGTGACTCTCACTGAGACACACACGAGTCTCCACTTCCCAACACCCCCTCCCTCCTGTTCCCATTTCCATCACTTCTGTAAATTTCTCCTGTCATCATTTCATATAAAACAGGCTCCAAATCTTTTGATTCTAAGGTTTATTATGAGAATCTACTGTGAATATGAAGAGGAAATAATTCTTCATAACCCGTCTACAACATCAGGATTTCTAGACAAGAAAATGAAAAGGCAAGGAACTCCTCGATTTAAGTTCAGGAGTAATTTCCACATGTAAGACCCACCGACACCACTTACCATCGGCCACACCAGGGCTAGGGTTGATGAGTGTCTCCAGCGTGCAGGGCCCCCTGGAGGACATGACCGCCGGGAAACCAGGCACCAGGCAGGCAAAAATCAGCACCTGTTCTTCTGCACAGTGTGTCTGAAGTGCTTGAAGCCATAAAAGAAACAGCCTGATTCCTTCACATCTTATCTGAAGACAAAGTTAAAAGCAATGAAAATGAAACGTGCATCTACAGAAATGCAATCAGAGCACAGCATCAGTCCTGAGAAAGAGAAACTGTAAATCAAAGGTATCTTTAAAGTACTTCACCAAGTTCCTCGCTTAGTACCAGGGGTCCAAGCTTGGGTTCTGGAGCCAGAGTGCCTGCCTTCAGGGCAGGCTCTGCCACGTGCAGTTGTGACCCGTGGAGAACCACTTATGCTCCATGCCTGAGTCTCCTCGTCTGTGAAACGGGGGCTGTACAAGCATTTGCCACAAAGGCCTGTTACAAGGATTAAGAGAGCTGACGTAGAAAGTGTGTGAAGCAGGGCTGCTCCCGGGAAGCACCGGGCAGGCATCCGTCCCTGTCAGCGTGTTTCCCCGTAAGGCCACAGTGCCCTTGTCAACTCATCAGAATCAGGACAAGGCGAATCTCCCTCCTGCTGCAGGCACCACAAGCACGGTTGGGACGTTCTTGACAATCAGAACCCTTGGAACTAAACATGACCCTGAAGGTCTGGCTCTCGATGAGACAGAGCAGCTCTCCAGCGTCCCTGTCTCGCGGCCCTACTCTGTTCTCTCCAACACCTCTGCCAAGCTTGCAACGGTCAACATCACTGGCAGAAAACGTCAACATGGGCAGACGTGCCCTTTTTCCTCCTCTATACTTCCAAATTTATCCTATTCCTAAAACTCAAGAACACGTCCTCCATTTTTGTATTCCTAAATGGCTGAAAGATGATATTAATAAGAGAAGCTAAATAAGCAAAAGAAATAGATAAAAACAAATAGACACAGCTGGAGGACACAGTTAACCCCCAGTGCAGGCAGCTGAGGGACACCTGATCCCCCGTCCATTACCCTAAGGTGCTCATAGCTCAGAGCAAGAGCTGCGGAAACACCAGGCTCTGGGGGGAACCAAAAGGAGAGGAGCCCCACCCCCACTGCCAAGAACTATATACCCTGCTTTGCTGACTCCAAAAGAAGTCAAAATACAGCAAGACACCCTAGCTGGTGACAGTGCTGTACCCCATCAACAAAGTGGACACACACACTTCTAAATGCACTCCTGGGTTCCACCAAGGCTGTGCGCAGACCTCCATGCTCATGCAGACCTGTCCTCCTCTCCCCAGGCAGCTAAATGAGGGGTAATGTAACACTAATCAGCCATCAGACAACAAAATGACACAGCTCTGTACATAGCTAATAAAATTATATTTGACAAAAGGAAACTTTTTATGAAATTCTAACAAAAGTCTCCAATTTTTTATGCTAACTATATTCAAGAGAACTAACTACAAATAAAGCTAATAATAAACACAACAACCTGATAGGTTTTAATTATTGCAGGAGGGACAAAATATGGATTCTGTATGAGGCTACGAATAGCTCACTTCTTTTTTTCAACACGTAAGAGATAAACAACATATCAAGTTTTAAGTACCTGTGATTGCTGAAACTGATGGAAAACAAAGAATGTATTAGCTTATCAAAGGCATTCACACAACTTAATTAGCTACAAGTGATTTATCTTCCATAAAATATTTATCCCAGGCTGGTTTTTTCCTGCCACTTACGTTTTAGGGTCATCTTATCTCAGCATCGAGTGCTATATGTCACTATAAAAGGTACAGTCATTTAAAATAAGCCAATTTTAACAGAAATTACAAGATCAATCTATAGCAAATAAATATTCAAGAGTGAGGCCCTGCTATTCTTTTCTCCTACAACAGTTCTCAAAATTGGTAAAATTAAATCAGACACAATCATAATTTTAACATCCAGATTACTGAGGTGACCAGAACCCAGTATGTTAGCTCTGACCTTGGAGAGCAAAAGCCCTTCCTTTCACTGATGATCAAACTGGAGTGGTTAGTGCCTTGCCCATAGCCCCCAGCTATACCCAGCAGAGCCAGAATCAAACACTCAGAACTTCAAACTCCAAACCCCAAGCCACTCTACCTAATACCATTTAAAATATGCAATGTAAGAACAAAACTTCTAACAACATCCGTAATATAATTTATCAATTAAAAAATAAATACTAAGTCAAGTGGTTCTCAAAGATCTTTTATTTTTCAAAATGGCCATTGTTACTTTGTGCTATTAAAAATTTCAGAGTAACTAAAAATGTCATTACACTATAAATACCTTAGTAGAATTTCCAGTGTGTAGAAGCTTCTTTAAAGTTGAGCCTGAAAGTTTAAAACAATGAATTAGAAAGAGTATATGAACACATACTTAAGATACATTTTGAAAATACCAGTTTTTGAAAGAAAAAAATGTACCTATGACAAAAGGCATAATTTCTTTTAAATAAAAGGAAGAAGACCGACCTTCAAAAGCAAAGCAATGTCACAGAGAAAAAGATGTTTGTAAGATAAAAGTACCCTGAGTAGTGCCTCTTCAAAATTCTTTTAAAACAGTCAAAATGATTGCTGTAAAGGTAACCCAAATGTCCACAGCGGACCATGTGCAAACATCTCTTGTCATGCATAAAATGATTCTTCTTAAATCTCGAAGGTAAAAATGATGTAAGATGACTGCCCACAAAACATTTTTACAAGAACATTTCCCAGATATTCGGGACGCCATGCTCCTCTCCTGCAGTGATAATCGCATTTATGGGGCTTGGTCCGTCAGTAAACACTCCCCCAGAGCTCTCTGGTCACCGCCAAGGAGATAGAGTCAAGATTACTCAGAACTATACCAGTCAACTGCAAAGACTTTGGTGTGTAGCGCCTATAATAAGAAATATCTCTCTTAGGAGACGGAAACATATTACCAAGTATTCCATAAGTAAGTTCACGCCCTCAGCATTGACACAGCCTGACAACCCCACCTAAATGTCACATATCCTCTCATATAGGGTCTGAACCTCAACAAAGGAGATGAGTGTAAAACAGGAATACCTTGTAAGGCTTAGGCAAGAGAACTTTTCTGTCAATCAAATTATATATCTTTTAAGAAAAAAATTTATTACATTCCCTGATGAAAGGCCTTGTGCAATATTTTAAAATTAAATATCAAATCACACTTACTCCACCAATGAATTTCAAAGAGCTATTCCATCAAGAAACTGAGCCAGAATCTCAATGACTGACATGAGCCCTGCTTGTGTGGATATTATATGAGATGGTTAAATGCACACCTGTTAGAAGAACCTAATCCCTGGCAACGTGAAGGAACCTCCTGTAACAGTCCCGCTGTGTGTCCCATGGCATGTCTAACACAAGGCTCAGTGGAAACTCATTACCCAGAACCTAATCCCTGGCAACGTGAAGGAACCTCCTGTAACAGTCCCACTGTGTGTCACGCGGCATGTCTAACACAAGGCTCAGTGGAAACTCATTACCCAGAACCTGATCCCTGGCAACGTGAAGGAACCTCCTGTAACAGTCCCACTGTGTGTCAC